TTTTTTTTTTTTTAAGTACCCTCTGATTGATTACTCACTTCCGTGGTGTAACGTTTTAAAGCATTTTTTTAAAACTTGCTGGGGTTAGTTTTAGCCTACCCCAACTTGTTTGAGACTAAAAGGCCTTGTTGTTGTTGTTGCTGGGGTTAGTTTGGTTTATCTGGCTTAGTTCAAACCAATCTGGTGTAATTTAAGTGGGGGGGAAAAGTAGTTATGGTGTGCCAAGCCGCTAGTCAAACAAGATTTCGGACATTAAAACACGAGACTGGAATTGCTGGGTGTGCCACCATAATAGTTAGAGTAATTGCATGCTTTCAACCCCTCCAAGATTGCCAGGTTAGTCGATTATATTAGTTATTTTTTTTTTCAACTGATGATTTGTTTTTATTTTCTTTTCTTTTTGTTATCCCATGTGGTTAATTACTAATCAGTAATTTTCTTGTGTGTATTTTTTGCAGGCCGAATACTTCCGTCAACTGCTTAAACCTGTTATGTAGTTTAATTTCAGTTTTTTGTCGCGCGCATATTCTCTCTTCATCATTTCCGTTTTCACCGAAAGTGACAAGGATCAATTACTTACACTTAGGTACGGTTTTCGGTTTTCATTGTATGCTTATGTTTATTTTTCTCGATTTATCCCATTTCTACCCTTTCCGTGTCCTCATTTTTCGTGTTCAATTATTTGTAGAATTTGTTGCTGTGCTTAAATGGAAAGATACACCGGATTTGGTTACCATATGCCTCCCCATCCGAGTTTGTCACATTTTCCTACCGAAATTACCCTTAGGCATCCCTTATCGGGCCACGTAAATCCTCACCCGTCTCAAAACCCAAACCCGAACGCAAACAACTCGCCTCCTTCCGCCTACTGACAGTCTCTGTCAACAGCAAATCCCCACACCTCTCCAGAAGAGTTTCCTCGTTTTCGACCGATAGGGCGAGAAAACCACTCTTTTCTACACTCGACCTTCTTCTTGGGTTCCTCCGAACAATCTCAAGACTTACCGAAAAAACAACACGGTGGATAATAATATCCCGAGAGGTCTAACGAAAGAAGACGAGTCGTCCCAAGAGAACTTGGAGGAACTCGATGCCCTCCTCTATTCTTCGGATGACGATTACTCGGACGATGATGTGACGAGCACGGGCCATTCGCCGAGCGCCTTAACAGACGAGGTCCCACACGATCCCCCGGCCGAGGAAAAAACGGGTGAGAGCTTTGTGGGGCCCACCACAGCCAAACGAAGGAGAACAGGGCGCGTACTGCTGGAGGAGGATGAAGCAGAGTCTTGCAGTGGGCCCCACAAAAGGTTGAGAAGAGAAAAGGTTCAGATGGCACTCGGGGCTTTGAGGAGCGTGGTCCCTGGCGCAAGAGGTAAAAACGGGATTTCAGTTATTGATGAGGATATTGAGTATTTGAGGTCCTTGAAGGTTGAAATGAAGGAAGGCTCTAGGGCTCGATGCTCTTTGAGTTTTGTTATTTCTCCTTTTTACGAGGCGAATAAAAATTGGAACTTTGTTGTTTTTGTGGGAGGAATACGAATGTGCCTTGGAGCTATAGCCAAACGTACGTGAGAATCGAAATGCAATTATTGGCTCGTCTTCTGATCGAAATTTTAGTATGTTGCGAAGTTAGCTAAGCTTGGATTTATGTTATGATCTTTTGTTAGATCACATTTGAATCTTGTAATATGTGATTTGGGAAACTCTTGAGATTCAAAATGCCTTGCTCATAAGTGTTCCATAAGAGTGAGGACATTTTTTTATTTTTTATTTTTTTTTTTCATTTTTCTTGAATTTTTTGGTAGTTTGGTGTGAGGTGAGAATATGCCATTCATTTGGATTTGTAAATTTACTAATGTTCACATTTTTTGTACTAGGATTTTGTGTTTGTACTAAGAATGGACCACAATCGCTGTTTGCTTAATTGCTTTTCACTGTGTTTTACTTCTACTATGATTTTGTTTGTTTGTTTATCTCGTTTGTATTTTTATTGTCCCAAATTCTGCTACAGAGGACAATTTGCGGTTTTTCAAAATTTTAACCGCATCCAAAACTGAACTTTGAAAAATTGAACTGAAGCATTTTTTATTTCTGCTCGGTTTTGTTCACCCCTAGTCTGGGTTTATTGTGTTACTTGTGAAATTATGCATGCCGATTGTGGACAATTTTTTATTTTTATTTTGAAGTTTCTGCATTTAATACTGAATTATATTAAATTAGTGCGCATTACCCAACATATTACACAATCTTATTTAGAGTATGTTTGGTAAACCAAATAAACTAGTTTATAGCTTATTTGGTTAGCTTATAAGCTTCTTGTATTTAAATAAGCCCCGTTTGGTAGAACAAGCTTATTTAAAAAGCTCGAGTTTATTTAATAAGCTTGTTTAGATGGCTTTTCAAATAAGCTAGTTGATTTTTTTATTCTAGCTAACTTATCAGCAATTTTACCAAAACACTTTTATCATATAAGCTAGCTTTTCAACTATAAGTCATAAGTTATAAGCTCAAAAATTACATATAAGCTATAAGCTAACTTATCAGCTATAAACTAGCTTATCAGCTAGTTTTACCAAACATAGTCTTAATAAAATTAATAGTTAAAAGTATGTTAGTGAGTGAACAATATTTTTTTTATAATATCTAATGATGATGGTTTTTTT